CTGCCACCACTTCTCTCTGGGGGACAAGGGCCTGGTGGAGGAAGACACATACCGCCTGGACCACGAACAATAGCCGGGACCTTGGGAACAGGAGCGCCCCCCATAACAGCCCCAGAGCCAAACCAGGCTTGGGGAGGAGCCAAGCTGGACCTCACTCCACATACCCTCCCCTCTGGCCCCACAAGTAAAGGGGCATCTTGCAGGGTGAGAAGGGCCAGGGCAGGGTGCGGAGCTGTGTAGGTGGTGTTAGAGTGGCCACAGGTCCCAAGAGGAGGCCTAGTCCAGGAGACCCTGGCATCCGGAGTTCTGCAGTGTGATCTTCCCTTCCCAGCTTCCCAGAGCACTCCCGCTCCCAGTGGTCTGCCTTATTTTCAGTGATGGGAAATGAACACAAGCCTTCAACCACTCTGAGTTGCAGTCCCAACTCCTTTTAACTTTTACTTTGAGACAGGAGCTTGCTAAGTGGCCCAGGCTGATTCTGAACTCGTGATCCTCCTGCCTCAGCCTCCTGCGTAGTTGTGATCAGAGGCGTGTGCCAACTGTGTCCAGCTTGCTCTGGTGGCTGCAACCTCTCACTACTGTAGTGAGAGGCACTCTACAGCCCCCACTGGCCCCCAATGGGGAGTTGGCCCTGACCTCCCAGCAGTCTCAGCCTTCTAGGCCTCAAAGGGGTGAAGGAGGAAGGACAGCCAGGTGGTGCTGAGGTCAGGGTGCAATGCTACCCACGGAGACTCAGGCCACGGACTTTCCCCTGCCCTCCTGGGGTGCACAGGTCGGGGGACAGGGCAGGTACTCCACAAGTTGAGCAGGACTCAGGGCCTCAAAGGTGCCACTGATAGGCGATGCTTCCCCCTGCTGGCCAGGACTGGGAGCAGACACAAAGGGGAAAGGACCTCGGGAAAGAGGCCCAGATCCACCCAGGCAAAGAGCAGTAGAACGGGGAGCTCTGCACAGCGGGGACTAGCTTGGACAATAAACAGGGGGCAAGGGTTCCCTCGTGGAGGAACCTGTGCCAAACAAGGTGAGCCCAGGGCAAGCCGCAGAAACCCAGGGACTCTGAGAGGGCAAGTCAGCTATTTACCACAAACACTGCAACTGGCCACACAGCCCTGCCTGGGCTCCAGGGGCTTCTATGCCAGTGGTGGGCAGTGCACAGCCCTCCACTCTGCTTAGTCTTAATTCGTATTTCTAAATGGATCATCTCACTGCTTGGAACTTCGTTGATGTTGACATAGGGGAAAGATACGCCCAACCTGTAAGATATCTGAGTTCGTATTCTCTGAAACCCAAGAATGAATTTTAAGAACAACTGAGGTTAAGAAAGCTGCTGTCTGAGAGGGACAGGAGCCCAAGTGGGTTGCCAAGGAGCTGTCTGTTTTAGGTTTTTTTTGTTTTTGTTTTTTAGTACCAGGGATCAAACTCAAGACCTTGTGCTTGCCAGGCAGGTGCTTAGGATGCTAAGCTAAATCCCCCGGCCCCTAGGGATTTTTGTAGAGCAAATCCACAAGACGAGGCAGGTCTAAGATGGAAAACATGGGAACTTGCTAGGTGGGGATGAGGTGGGACAAAACTATGGTCCGTCAGTAAGATTACAAGTACAGTTGCTCAGGTAAAATTGATTAAATCGGGATCAAATGGGGAAGCCAGTCACATAGCCAATGAGCATGAATACAGAGCAGGAGCTGTTCTGTAGGGGTTAGTCTACCTGGCTTTTTCAAAGTGACTGAAATCTATTTAGAATATCAATCCCTGATGCCTATCCCTAGGGAGGTATGTGGCTGCCATTTGTTTCACCTTTTTTTTTTTTTTTTTTATTTTAGGGAAGAGTCTATGGCATTTTCAGGGTCATGCTACTACCAGGCAAGCACTTATTCCACTGAGCTATCTCCCTGGGCCCTGTTTCATCTTTTATCTTGAAGTCTGGCTCAGAGTGGAGGTACCTGGCTCTCCCACAGTTGCAAGGTATCTTGCCTTCCATACTGGCTCCTTTGAGAGCCCGATGCTGTCTGACTGCCTACATTTCTATCTAACTCAGCTGCCTACAACAATGTTCCCGTACATCATTCTGAAAGTGATCTGTCGGTGAAGTGAAGGAATCTGAGGACAAACTTGTCTGGCTGTGCCCAGTGGGCTGCTCCATGCCTCACCACCTGACTGGGGGTGAGAAGGTCTGAGACAGTGGTAGCAAACCTGTGGCACTCATGCCAGAGCAGATACACACAGCGTCCTCTGTCAGGACGCAGCCACGTTGCCCCAGCCGCCGTGCATAAGCTTTAATTACAGCATCGGTATTTTGTGATAAAAAATGGGCTTGGGGTTGTGGTCTGGGCGCTCAGTCTCTGAAAGGTTTGCCACTGCTGGTCTAAGAGGTGGAGCCTGGCACAGAAGGTGCAGGAGGCTGGGCAGAGGCTGGATGGAGGCCGTGCCGCAGGGCTGGGGAGGGCACTGCTCAGGCTGCCCCAGAGCTCTGTTGAGAAGGTGTAGGAAATAACACAGAACTCAACTCGATGTGGGACAGGTCAGGGATAAAGGCTTAGTGTAGACAGTCTGCTTGAGAGCCAGCCACACCTGGTGTAAGGAGCCCCTGCTCACCTGCACCACCCCTGGAGGCTTGCTAGTGGGCAGGACCTAAGCTGCTGGTGTCCTCCTTGGCCAGGGCTCCAGATGAGCAGCAGTGCCCTGGTCCCTGTCCTCATGTGGAAGGATGGGCCACAGCCAGCCCTTAGGCAGGCAGCATGCAGGGTGTCCTGTGACCTTGGGAATAGCCTCAGCCATGCCGTGCTACAGCCCTGGCTCCTCCTGACCAACCGCATCTCAACTGTGAGGGGAACCCAGATGGACACTTGACACTGTGGATGTGTGTGGGTGAGCCTTCTCAGGCTCCAGTCCCTTGGTTTCCATGTGACATGTTGGGGAGTGGAAGCTTAAAACGAAACAACTTCAGAATTAAAAGACTCAGCATTGGCCCCATGTAGCTCCCATGGGTCATTTAATTCTGTGTAGCCAAGAGGTCTACAGAAAGGAAAACTTCAGGCCTAGCTTTGCCTCTGGTCCTACCCTGGGAGGGGACCAGAGAGGCTCATGGAAAATGGGCTAGAAGCATGCTAGTGGATCACCTCATGAGGATTGCTTAGACATGGCTGTCTTCCTCCCTAATCACAGGGACACCTGGTGGGGTCATCTTCCTCCAGGGTGCAGAACTCTTGCTGCAGCCCTAGCCATAGAGGTAGAAACTCGGCATCTATCAGAGCAGCTTTTCTAGAAATCTCAGAGGCTTTGGCCAGCCCCATGGTCTGTCTCTAGCCTACTCCTGTTCTCCCCACCAGGCTAGGCCAATTCAGATCACCACTGAGCTGAGCAAAGGAGGCAAGACCCTATTAGGCAAGAAGGCAGCGGACCCACAGGCAGCAGAGGCCAGCCTGCCTGGATACAGGGCCATGACCATGCAGGCAGCAGAGATATGGCACACCTGTCCCAACCATGACATTAGGTGTGAATTTTTTTTCTTTGCAGTACCAGGGATTGAACTCAGGACCCTGCGCATGCCAGTCAGGCACTTATGCCACTGAGCTGTCTCCCCGGCCCCTAACCATGACATTAGAAAGCCAAGAATGAGCAGAGTACAGAGAGGCCTGAGTTCTGCTGACCTGACTTGACAGTGCGAAGCAGACAGCCCTGCACAGACTGCCCCACCCACCAGCCACAGCTGGACCCTCATCCTCCATTGCCATTCATGTGCTCTTTCAAAGCCATGACGCCCACCCAGCTTCCTGCTCAGAGAAGTCAGGGGGCAGCCAACCTGGTGCACCTGTCCCACCTACCCAAAAGGGCTCTGACTACCTGCCCATACCACAGCACTTCCCAGGGCAAGAACAGAATGTGCTAGAACCAAGAGCAGTTCAGGATGCCCCACATGCTGGGGCAAAGGGTTCAGACATCGCAGGGCAGGCTGGGCCCTCAGCTCTGAACTTGTATGCCTAGGTCCGGGAATGCTTCACTGCTTTATGAGGCCAACACAGCTCTGAGGCCATGTGATCCCTGAACCCTGGCCCTGGATACTCAGGGGGCTACAGAACTGAGGTAACGTGGGGCCAGAGAGATGGCTCAGTGGAATGAGTGCTTCCCTGGCAAGAGCAAGGACCTGAGTTCAAACCCCAGTTCCGCCAAAAAAAACCTAAAGTAACAGCGTCCTCCATTGTCAGGTACATGCTTCAGGGCTGTACGGCCATGTAGGTGGGGTGTTCCAGCCACATCTCCCTGGTAGTGGGGGTCAGAATGATCAGGAGCCCAACTCCCTGGGGGTGTTTCTGGCATCCCACTCCCTGCATTTAGCATTTGGCCAGCCCTTCTTCTGGGAAAGGTGCCCAAATCCAGGACAGCAGCCTTACAAGCTGTGAGCTAGGTGAAAGATGTCCTCCTCAGGCCCTGGCCACCCCAGGGTCAGCCTATCCTGGCTCCCAACTGCAAGGACAGGGACACCAGTGGCCTCTTCGGTGGCTGAACAGGCACAATGAGATGGCGGCAGCAGGGCAGTTCCCAGATGCAGAAGCAGAGGCTGCAGGTAACAGACTTGCGTCTCTACCTCCACCCTGGGAGGAGCTCCCGCGCTCTCTCTGGAGCCTCCTCCAAACAGCAGCCGGTTCTGCTCCTGCATCTGGATGGGTGCCTCTGGCCCTATCCTGGCCCTGTCCTGTCTTGCTCACCCCATGACCTGTGCCCATGCTAGGTCCGTCTTTGATGGGCCAGGTGGTTTCTATATCTGGGCTGGGCCAAAGGGGATACCCCTGCTATCTGTTCACCATCGAGAGTCTCTCCACAGGCACAGGATGGCTCCCCTGGGGAAGGAGGAGCTGTTGTCCACCGTGAACAGCTCACAGAGCAGGCATATGCACCAGTAAGGTGGAAAGCGCCTCCTTTAGTTTACTCAGGATGAAAGATTAAAACACCAGCAAGTTGGGACTTGTGATAATTCGTAAGGCACTCTGTGCAATGGGAACACGAGCTGGGCCCGGGGCACTCAGCGTGGTCCAGGCCTCAAGGTGTCTGCTCCCCCACAAGGATGCGGGCAGGGACTCAGGCCCTGGGCTACGTGAAGGCCGGGTCCTCAATGCCATGGTCAGGGTTGCAGGTGAAGGCGATGGTGATGGCATAACGGGTACCCCAGCGGACCTTCTCCACACGGTGCAGATTCTCAGACCCCGAGGTGAAGAAAGAAACCCGACCTGGAGAGGAAGGGAGACAGAGACATGAGCCCAGAGGCCACCTTATGCCACCAAGGCCCTCAGAGAGCACAGCAGCCATCATCAGCCAATGTCAGCAGGGGACTAACTAGGACCACAACAGCCAGGGACAGGCTGAAGGAACTTGTTGCTCTGGAACTGCTGCCCAGAAAGCCAGCAGGCCAGGAGACAATCCCACAGCACCAGGACAGGTCATGCCTGGACGTGTGGTGAAGATGGGGTGTTCTAGCTCCCTCCTATTCTGGTGAGAAAAGCAGTGGAAGTGGCCACAGGGATGGGCACCAGGCCTTGTACTACTTGCAGCCTTCTAGTTCAGACAGGTTAGGATCTGGTTTCTAATCATAGATCATCAAAAATCAAACCCAGCTGCAGAGGGTGAGGATGACAGCATCATCTAACAACCCAGGAAGGTCAGTCAAGACAAACACATGCAAACACCTGGCCAGCCTACTTCAAGTGGGGATGAAGACAGGCCCCTCCTGGGACATCGATCACCTGAACTGGGGGTCCTTCCATCCAAGAATCCCATCCACTTGCTCTTATAAATAAATGACCCCATCACACTTTTTACTAGGTAAGCGCTTGCTGCTAAGTACTCCAATCAGCCATTAAAAGTCCTGAGTGAGGAGCATGAGATTCTGAAGTCCCATCCTGGCTGCAGGACCTGGCTCCAAATGATCGGGACAATTGCCCTACAAAGACTAGTGCTGGAAACTCTGTTTCTCCCTTCCATGTTTGCAATTTGACTCTGAATCTTCGCCAAGGGAGAACGGTCACTTCTGCTGTGCGCTGCATCCCAGGGCCAACAGTCACATTTGGCCCACAAGTGGCAGAGCAAGAACAATCCTGTGCACAGCAGCAGACCCTGGGGGGGCAGGAACTCTGCTCCTTCTGCCTGGGCAGGGCAGGCCCCCTCTGGACACAGGAAGCAGGAAACACTCTCCCCAGGGTGACCTGGAGCCATAACACTTTCTGAGCTTGTGTTTTCCAAGGACATTTTGTCTTTGGTTTATTCTAGTTACAATCTAACCCGAGAGGTGGGAACAAGCAACAGGGGCCTAGGCAGGATGAGGCCTAAAGGCCTGGGGCTTGTGGGTCCCTCAGCCCCCCAAGCTACCTTCTCTTTGCTCCTCCACCACAGGCACAGATGTGCTTCTCCCTCTATTACCCCTGCAGTGTTTCTGCCCATCTTGGAGAGGCTTCAGAAGCCAGGGAGAAAAAGGATGGAGGATATCAGGGCCTCCATGGGCTGCAGGACAACAGGAAACCACCTGCCCCATCACTGGAGCCTGCGATGGGGAGAGAGGAACCTGGAGTAGAGAGAGCTTTGGTGAGAAAAAAATACCCGAACTCTCCCCAGCTGGATGGAAAACTAACTTTTACATTTGATTCCTAAGAGGATTAAATGCCACTTAGGGGAAATACAGACAAATCTACCTTAGTACATCATATGAAAGGGGGCAGGAGGTTGGGAAGATAGCTCAGGCATAAGCATCTGCCTGGCAAGCGTAAGGTCTGAGTTCAAGCCCTGGTACTGCCCTCAATGCCCCCCCCCCAAAGAGGACAGGAAACTTTGAAATCAGCAGAGAAAGAGGAGAGCACATGTAAGGAGCATGAAGGACAGCAACATTTCTCCAGAAACATCCAAAGCAGGAACCAAGAAATAGCATCTTGGGCTGGGGAGACAGCTCAGTGGTCTAAGCACCTGTCTAGCAAGCACAAGGACCCGGGTTTGATCCCTGGGTATAGCATGCCATGCTGGCCCAGAGCGCCAAGCCGGCTACCGAAACTAGGCATCTGGTGCACACCTGTAATCCCAGGGCTGGAGAGGCTGAGAGAGGAGGATCACAAGTCTGAGCTGCATAGTGAGACCTTGTACCAAACAGATAAATAAAAAAAGAAAGAAAAAAAAATAGCATCTTAACATGTCAAGAGGAAAAATGTGATCAGCACAGAATGCAAGATCCAGTACAAAGATCTCTTTTTAAAAAGGTGAAGGGGCCAGTGAGATAGCTCAGCGGTCTAAAGTGCCTGCTTAGGCAAGCTTAGTGCAGGCAAGCATGCAGGGACCACAGTTTGATCCTCAGTACCACAGCTGTGCCAGCCCTGCTCCCAGGAGGGGCTGAGCCAGCCACAAAACAAAAACAAAAAACAAAAACAGAAACAAAAAGAAAGAAAGTCTACTAAAGTCCACTAAAATTAGGGCCAGCCAGATAGCCCAGCAGATTAAGGCACCTGCTTAGACGATCGCAGGGGCTGCAGGTTCAATCCCTGGAGAGCCATGCTGGCCCTGCCCCCGCTGATTGAGACGGCGTGGCGGCACACACCTGTAATCCCAGACCTTGCTAGGCTGAAAACAGGAAAGTCACTGAGTCTGATCTGTGTAGTGAGACATGTAGTTAGAGCCTGTACTAAATACATTTTAAAAATTTAAAATATTTTTTTAAAAAGGCGAGGGCTGGGGGTGTAGCTCAGTGGTGCAGTGCTTGTCAGGCATGCCAGAGACCAAGGGTTCTATCCCCAGCACCACCACCAAAAATAAACAACCAAAAAAAGAGGTAAAATAAGTATTCAGAAAAGTCCTTGTGGGCACTGGAGGAACTGCACCAAGGGATTCACTAAAGGCTGAAGAGAAATGGTACCTGCTGGAAACCCTGACTCAGAGGGCAGAGTGGAGAATGCTGGAGATGAGAAGCGCTAGCTTGTTAAATGCTGTGTACCTCCTCAGAGGCCAAAAATTATTTCAAGAAAAATATCAAGGGCGCCTGCCCCTTAGCTCAGTTCTTTTTTTTTTTTTTTTAAGTTTTAATTTTTATTTATTTATTTATTTATTTATTTTGTGTGTGTGTGTGGCCAGCTCAGCCCACCAGCTCAGCGGGGCTGGCTGGCATGTGGTGCAGGGGGATTGAACCGTGGTCCCTGTGCTTTGCTTAGCTTAGCTTGTTCTAAGTAGGTGCTTCAGACCACTGAGCCATCTCTCCAGCCCCAAAGGTTAATGTGTATTCTTTTTTTTTGGTGGAACCAGGGATTGAACTCAGGCCCTTGCGCTTGCCAGGGAAGCACTTATTCCACTGAGCCATCTCTCCGGCCCCAGTTCAGTTCTTTAAGTGGCTGCTTCAACAAAGCTGTCAGGCTCAGGTTGCTGTGGTTCAATCCCCACAACTCAAGCCAGCTAAACCTGCCCTGAAGGCATTCAGAGAAAAAAAAAAAAAAGAAAAGAAAAGAAAAATATCAAAATAACAGCATAAAGTTTGTCACATATTTAGATATTGACAGGTAGCAAAATGAAAACACAAAGGTAGGGCAGTAGACAAGTGGGACCCTGCTGCTCTGTAAAGCGGGTGGTGGGCCACTGGACACATGGGTATTCCACTTTGATTCTGTACAATCCAGAACACAATGGCCAGAGGCATTCCACAGAAATTAGCGAGTAATATTCACATGGAAATGAAGCAGGCATATATTAGCAGCCAAATCACTTTGAAAAAGAATGAACACTTTCCATAAGGCTGTAGCAATTGGGATTCCACGGTAGTCACAGAGGGACACTTCGATCACTGGGACAGAAACAATGTGCAGAGCTGGAACCATGGTTATAATCTTCAGATTTTTGACAAAGGTGTCCAGACTGACTTGATGGGGTGAGATGGTCTCTTCAACAAATGCTGGCGAAATGCCTGGCAACCCACAGGCAACAGGCAAATGCTGACCCCTACCTCACTCCACATATCAATACTATTTCAAAATGGACTAATAACATGAACATTAAATCTAAAACCATAAAATTTCTAGAAATAGATGTAGAAAAAAATCTCTCACATCTTAGGGTGGGCAAAATTTATTACTGTGGAGATGCAAAGGTGCCCTGGGTAGGGTTGGGCTGCTGTAGGGGGTGGGTTGGGGTGGCCCTTGCTGCAACTGGGGACAGCTCAGACTGCCCACCTTGGGACACAGGCAAGGGCAGGGAGAAGCAGAAGCCAAAAACTAGGATAGTGGGTACAGAGAAATGCCTCTTCATAAGCCTGCTGTAACTAATGTCTTGAACTAACACTGAGATACAAGTAACAGGATCCCAGAAGTATATTGAGCTAGTGCTAGAATTACAGGTGTGCATCACCACTCCTGCTGGCACACTGAGATCTCTCTCTCTCTCTCTCTCTCTCTCTCTCTCTCTCTCTCTCTCTCTCAGTACGAGGAATCAAACTCAGGACCTTGTGCTTGCTAGGCAGGTGCTGTGCCACGGAGCTATATTCCCAGCCCTGAGATCTTAAAGGAGATTTTAAAAGTCCCTGTCACAACAAATCAAGGAGCAGAGACAGGCACAGTAACACATTCCTATAATCCCAGCACTCTTGAAGGCTGAGGCAGGAAAATCAAGAGTCAAATCCAGCCAGGGCAAATTAATGACTTGGCAAAATGTTGTCTCAAAGTTTAAGGGGGGAAAAAAAGGACTGAGGATGTAGCTCAGTGCTCTGGTCCAATCCCAGCACTACAAAAACAGACAAAAAGGAGCAGGAGCTCCTAGTCCTCCCAGAGACCCCAGTGAGGACACAGTGTATGGTGTGCTTATCCTCAGCCTAGAAGCTCCCGCTGTGCCCCTGAACCATAACCCCAAACCCAGCGCCCAGTCACATCCTTCCACCACCGAAGCCTCAGCAGGAAAACTCCCTATGCTGCTGGGCCCTGCTAGAACGTGCGCTCCACAGATCACAGCCTGTTGCTTCTTGTCCACCTGCACATAGACGTGCTCTCCAGCCCACATCAGTGAATCCAGCACTCGGGAGGCTGAGGCAGGAGGATGGCTGTGAGCTGAAGACCAGCCTGGCTACAAAGTGAGCTCAAGGCCAGCCTGAACTGCATAGTGAGACCCTGTTTCAAAAAGACAAAAACAAAAACTCACACTTCAGCCTGGCTTTGAGGACATCTGCTGCTTCTCTGCAAAACCGCTGAAAGCATGTAGTCATGGCCAAAAGTGTCTACCGCTCCTATCCTGCTTTCCAACGGCCCCTTTACACAGCCGTCCTGAGCTACAGGGAATAAGGGAGGTGTGTCTGAGGCATGCTGCCACCTACCCTCTAAGCTATCTAGAAATTCCACCCCATACACAGCTGTCACAGCGGCTGTGGAAAATGTCCCCCAAAGGCCCATGGGCTTTAAGGTTTGGCTGCCTACTGATGGGCTTTGGGACCTGATGGGGTCATAAAGGCTCAACCTCATCATGTGGATCCACCCACTGGTGATCATGGCTTGATGGCATTATTGAGAGGTGATGGACACAGGTGGCAGGGCCCACGCAAGAGGGTGGACACTGGAGCTGTGACATTGGGGACTGAATCGGCTCTCGTTGCGTCCTCTCTGGCTCCCCCCCACCCCCCGGCAGTCTCCTCCTCCCCTCTCCCATGGCCCGATGCTCTGGAGCAAGCTGAAAACAGACTCAAGCCTCTGAAACCCAGAGCCAAGGTAAGCCTCTCCTCAGTTGCCATTCTCAGGTGTGTCACAGAAAAGGAAGTTGACCAACACAACAAAGGTCTACAAGTCTTGAGGCTCAACCCGCTTTCTCCTGCAGAGGGCGACACTGAGAAGCACCATTATTCCCAGCTTTGATCCCCCAAAACCCAAGCGTTAGGTCAGGTGTCTACTGCAGGGGACAAGTGGGTCTTTTCTCCAGTAAGGCAGGCAACTCCCCACTTCTACATAACCCTCAGCATAGGGAAAGGTGTCCCCATGAGACCTCCAAGTCCAGGTGTGCACGCTGTCTCCTCAGAGGCAGCCAGCAACAGCAGGAGCTGAGGCTGTCCAGACAGAGGGATCTGTCACCCTCTGCCCAGTCAACACTGCTGGCATCTGAGGGAGGAAACCAGTGGGCATGTGATGACAGCCAGGAGCCTGGGAGCAGGTACAGGCAGGAATGCACTGAGAAAGGGTGGCCCACCACAGGAGACAGCCACAAATCTGCTGGACACTGGGGCCAGTTCCATCTCCATGGACACAGCTCACCATGAGACTGGCTCCATAGCACCACAAGGACAGGTCAAGGTCCCCGGGACCATGAGGGATACTGTGCTGATGTCACGTTGGAGGCATCACCTTATCTTTGATTTGTGTGGGACTGAGGAGGAGACCTGAGTCAGGTGAGCACTCTGCCACCAGCGTACACCCTAGCAAGCACCAAACAACGTCAGGTTCCCACTGAGCAGGCCGCCCAGCGGGAGACCCAATGGGAGCAAGTGGGACTGTCACACCAGGTGATGCTCTTGGGTCTGCTACAGCCCCACGACAACCTCAGGTGAGTGGTACAGACTCCAGCTTCCTAGGTGTCAACCCCAGCAGCTGGACCCAGACAAACTCTCTGCGCCAAGTCTAACATACAGTAGGTGCTCCCTAAACAGGGCACTGCTGACTAAACCCGCCCTGCCCCATACACATACAAATGGGTATGTGCGGTCAGAGCTGCCTGTGCCCACGCCCCGTCCATTACAAGCCTTGGCATCCTACCAGCCCTGGGCTCCACCGTCTTATTGGCACCTTCCTCCATGAACACAAAGCGCCCTCCACCGAAGTCCTCTAGGTAGTCAGAGAGGTACAGCAGTGAGGTGTAGTCAAACGAACCGTAGGTCACCTGTGGGGTGAAGTCAGGAGCTGTCAGGCCTGCTGCCCTTTAGAAGGTGGGTGACCACTGAGGCCAGCTGTCTTGGGACCTCATGTACTGACTGCCCATGGGCCCTTCCCACCCCCACAGTGGGCATCTTCTGGGCATCCATGTTAAAGGCACAGCAGAGAGGTTGGCACAAGGCTAACTCCTGCTATGGGCAAGTACTGTGGTAGCTGCATGATATGCAGGGAAAGGGTATCTTGTCGCTACAAAAGTCCCCGACTTTTTTGATGTTGTTGTTGCAGTATAGGGGATTGATCTCAGAGCCTTTACTCTGAACCACATCCCAGCACTTCCTTCTTTCCCTCCTTTTTTAATTTTTTTTTTGAACATTTATTGTGTGTGTGTGTGTGTGTGTGTGTGTGTGTGTGTGTGTGTGGCCAGCTCAGCCCACCAGGGGGCGCAGCTGGCTGGCATGTGGTGCTGGGGGAT